TGGAAATGGTCCGTGAAATTGAAAAAAAACAACCCAACCCAAACGAACAGACGCAACTAGTGGGTAAGTGATGTTATGAATAGAACTTATTTGAGCAAGACAATGTGATCAAATGTAAGTTAGTCCAAGAGGTCGAAAGTTCTACAGAAAAAGTATCCAAATAGGAAAATTTAGATACAAAGTTGCTCTTAAGAAAACATAAAATTGATGAAAATGGCCAGCATAGAAATGGAAAAATGTATTGAATTCTTCATTAATAAATCCTCAAGGAACCAATGTAGCCTTAAGCAAAAACTACCCCCAAAAAAAGTTTGAAAGAAATTTAGGCAGCCTAAAAAATTGTTAGATACACATTGAGAACACAGCTTCAGTTTCAATTGATTATAGTGGTAAGACAGATTTTGGTCACACTGTGTAGTCCACGGCGCCCAAGGCAAACCAAAATACAATAGTTTCCTAGAGTCTAGTAAGTGTAGTGTAACCAAAGATTCTCTACTGCAGTAGTCTTCGCCTAAGATCCCAGTGCTCAGAAGCAAGGAAAATATGGGATCTTAGCCGACGAAGCCAAGGAAGAATCTACAGTGACCCATGAACTGACGTGACCCCTGGGTCGATTTATGACATATGGCAAGCAAAGAGTGGTCAACCTTGATGACCACAATCACAGTGGCATGAGGCATGCCATAAATAATATATACATGTATATAACACACTCATTAGCCTATCGTGAGTCTTGAGATCTTTATCTACGTTTATCCAGTTGCCCCTCCCTTTCACCTGTCCAACAATTTTAGCTTTCCATCTCTGATTGATTCCCCCCCACCCCCAACCTCCTTTGTCGTTACGCACCAGTACGTTGTGACCACACCAATTAAAATTCAGGCTGTCTCACAATTTCGGGAATAGAGAAAAACTGCTTTCAATGGTCAGGGAAGAGTTCACAGTTTGATGTGATCCCGCCTGGAGCGAACTTGTAGGCCCGACCCACCCAGTGAGTGATGTAAGTTTAGGTGGTGAGGTCAGATGCGAGTGTGATGTTTGGGGAAAAGAAAGGCATCGGTCAGTTCATACCTTGGTGTGATCCCGTCTGGAGCAAACACTGTACCGTTTCAAGGAGTTTTACAATGCTTGTGATCACATTCACAATAGTGACTGATCTTTGACGCGACGGGCCGTTCTTTGATCTCAACTTTTAACTCTTGGTTGATCGGCTGTGCCCGCCCGG